GATTTGTAATGATTATATTTACAAAGCACCTACATAAAGAAGCTTGAAGATTCAAAAAGAGAGACAGAAATATAACTACATATAACAATAACTATAAAAATCATATATATATATATATATATATATATATATATATATTTATATTTGAGATAAATATTAATTAAATGAATAATGATAACGTATAATAATTTTATATAATATTTTTATTATTAATTAAATATAATAAATGAAATGATGATAGAGATTGACATAACAAATAATGTTGTACAAATTATTACATAATTTTATTATATAAGAATCATTTTCTTAATTAAATGGACTTAAAAATAATTCTAAAAGACACATTCATCGAAAAGTTAGTTCTAAAATATGTTATCGTGAATAAAAATTTAAAGTTATACTAATATAGAATAGATTAATTTCTCGTTTGAAAGTGTAAACGTCTTTATTATTTCATTTTCTGTGGGCACGAACAGTGTAAAGGTTTTTAATATAAAAGCATGGTATTGAGAAGTCAACATGTTGAACATTGAATTTAGAAATTGTTTATTGTTGATCGATCCATCAAGTTTAAGATGAAGACGAAGGGAAGCAAAGTCCAGAATCCATCTTAGGCCACCATGTGTTATTTGCGCAGTCATGTTTCTGACTATAGAATTATTAATTTACTCTACTGTTTTTAATAATTATTTTTAAGACTTATTATTAAACTCAATTATTTTTATAAGTTTTTGTTATTTTCTTTAAACTATATACTTTATCCTAATTTCCTATATTAAATATCTTATTTAAACTTTTTAATTTTTTTTTTAAAATTTTAGTTTCGAGTTCAATTTAATTTACTAACTAGTCAAAGATTTCTTTCTAGATCATTTCCAGTTATTTTTCTTTTATTTTTATCTATAATTTAATTAAAATATAATTTATGTTTAAAAGCATTAGGATTCCGCAAGTCACTAGATAGTACAACACTATGTAGTAGAGAATATAAAGAATTCAACTACACTAGAATTCTTATACTACAAAAATATGTATAAGGTGTAAAAAAACATAAAAGAGTTCTTGCTAATATAACTTTAAAGCATAAAACTTCTTATGTGGTTATAAATCATATACATATATATAATATGAGGAAGGATCTAATTATTCTAGAAGTAAGTAAGGATGACAATGGGACGGGTCGGATACGAGTTTCATGATACTCGTCTCCGTCCCCGCGAGTCAAACTCTTCCCCGTCCCCGTCCCCGTACCCGTACTCGTTGGGTATATGATTTTCATCTACATCCCCATCCCCGTTAGGTATCGGGTATACCCGTACCCGTACCCGTATCCGTCATTTTTTTATTTTTTATTTTTTGTAAAAAAATATGGTATTTTTAAATTATTTTTTTATTATATTATAATTATAATTAGGTTATTTCTCTATCTCATATTATAATAAATAATTACACATAAAAAAAATATTAAAATTATTTAATATAATTAAATTAAAAGTGAGTATTAAATTAAAAATGAGAACGAGGACGGGTACGGGTACGCGCCCCGTACCCGTACCCGATTTAATATATCGAGTTTTACCCGTACCCGGTCAAACCGGGTATTTCCCGTCAAAGTCGGGACGAGTTCGGATATTACCCACGGCTACGAGTATATTTGTCATCCCTAGGAGTAAGTTTACCTAAAAGCAGACTTACCTCGTTCAATATCTTATGTTCTACATCAAATTTCAACGATACAACCGTTGAATTTAAAGTTCTTAATGCATAGATCAAGTTTACAAATTTTTAGAAAATTCAAAAATCATGTGATACTTCATTTCATTAATTCAAATTGACATATAATCATAAAATATTTTATACATTGATTTGAGTTAATAAAATGCAGTATCAAATGGTTTTTAAATTTTTTAAAAATTTACAATTTTGATTTATATATACATTAAGAACTTTAAATTCAACGGTTGGGTCATTGAAATTTGATGTAGAACATGAGTTATTAAATAGAGTAAGTCTAGGTAGATTTACTCCTAGAGTAAACGAATCACTCCTCATATAATATACATCAAAAGTACAAAATATTGAAAGTATAAAACCCTATCGTTGGTCAAGTGTCTTTATACAAGATACTACATTAGAACAATACAACAAAATAAAGAGATCTCCTACATGACCAAACTCTCAATAAGTCTACCATCTAAGCTTGATCTGTTTTCATACCAAATATGATCATTATAGTCCAACAACTTGAAAAAGTAAGGATAAACTTGTAAAAGAAAATAACATAATAACATAATAGAGAAGTAACAACTTCAACAATTAAAATTAAATTAAAGCAACATGTTAGTTTTCAACTTAAAACATAACCACAACTTCATCATCAATCACAACTTATAACATGCACAACATTCTCACCATAATCAACTTTAATCACAACTAAACAACTAATGCGTTGTCATGTATATCAACTTATGAAAATGTTCTACAAAGAGCTCCACTCCTTAATTTGCTCAAAACAATTGCATCTTGCAAGAAACACAAATCAACCACTACGTACAATTCAACATCAATCAACAAACTTCCCTTACCTTATCACTCAAAAGTGAGAAGATTGAAGGGAGAACGGGGAAGAATTAAAACTTTCCTAGAAACTCACTATATGACCAATCACGAGCTTGGTTCTCGGCTCACAAACTTGAATTCATCAATCTACCACCACTACTCAACTAAGGGAAAGATTTGGAAAGCTCTTGCAAAATCAAAAGGAGAAAAGGATCTCTCTTATTATAGAGTCTCTCTCTAACTTCTCTTTAACTTTTATGAGAATGTGAACTTATGAAGTTCACGTCTTAAGAAAATTTTAAATACATTCTCCTAAACTTAGTAAGCTTGCAGGAATCCCTTAATTCTTAAAGTTTTGAAATAACTAAAAACAATCTAACTTTCAAAGATCCCTTGATCCTTAAAGTTTTAAAACAAGAAAACAAACACAATACATCAACATTTCAATATCACATATCATATAATTAAATTATAAAAACATATAAAACATACAATGTTAAAAAAAACTATTTATTTATTACAGATTTTAGTTATAATAAAAATATTTAATTATTATAAATTTAGTCAAATAAAATAAATAATTATTCTATGTATTGTATAGATAACACTTGGAGAAAGTTATGATACGGTGTCTTCTTCTGGTGCATTGCCTTATGATGCTACAATATTACACCATCCATGCTATATTTGAAAAGTAAGATTAAATTTAATATTAAAATAATTAATTAAATTTTCCAATTGATCTTTTACAGATCAAGTTTTCACATGGTCTTCGCACCAAATCTTATCACTACTTATCCTCTTTGAATAATAGTCATAACTTTTACTATTTTTTTTCTCTTAAATTTTAAATAATTATATTTGAATTAAATTTGCTGTTTATGCAAAATATAATAATATAAGAAATTTAATTCCTATAACTAACTTATTTATGATATTTCACAATCTCCTCAAATTTAACTACATGACTATTGTCCTATAACTTTGGCTTTGCCCTTCAATTTTTCCAATGTGCACCAACGAAGGATTTTCCCACCTCATATGGGATGATTGGTATTATTAATATATATTCTATCAATTTGACCAATTATAAAATTGGGTAAATTTTTTCCATCTCACTTTATGCGTTTTCTATATGACTATATCCTTTCTGATTTTTACTTTTGTATTCCTTTGGGAAAAATGGCTTTAAGAGATATTCTTTAAGAGATATTCTTTTAAGAGTGTTTTAAATAAGTGTTTATAAGAGCTATTATTTTTAACAAAGGTTCGTTTAGGCATGTTAATTTTTCATTAAATTAATGTTGAACGAATTATTTCACATTTTAAATGATATTTCAAAAAAATGAAATGAAATTGATTTTATTTAATAAAAAAAGTTATAACATAAATATATGTATACTTTAATAAATAAAAAATTAGCATTTAAAATTAATTCTATTCATAAGAATGATTAATGGTTTTCACTCTTTCTCAAAATTAATTTTATTTTCCGATAAAAATATTATTCTAAATTTTTACCCAATAATAAAATATTAGGTAAATTAATTTTTATATATTAAATATAAACCATAGTTTTGTGCGAAAATATTTTTAAGAGTTTTTCTTTAATAAGAGTTTGTAAAAATTATTTTAATTTCTTACTTAATTCAGTTTTTAGTTATTATAATTTTTTATAAATTAAATATTACTATTTAAAATAAATTATCAATAAATAA